TACCCTTTCAAATAAAGAACCTTTGGAATCGGTTCGTAAATGACGGCGTTCTGACGTAAGAAACATATAATAATACCTATAGCCGAATGGAGAACCTCCTCCTTTTCTTGCAGTCGGTAAAAATACCTCGGAGCACACAAAATGATACATGATGGTACAGTATAAAGATCTTGACAGATATGACTACTATGTACTACTACTATTTTGGAATAATCTCAAATGATCAACAAACCTTTGATATAACCGTAATCGAAATCTTATCTGTTTGCAAATTTGAAAATTTTGACAGTTTTGTCAGAGTCAAAAACTATCTTAATCAGTCAGGGGTCAGTCAGACTGCTCTAGCCTCCTTACTATTTCTTTGAAATGATTACTTACTTTTTAGTGATGTTACTGATTGTGAGATAAATCTATAAATAATAATTATTCGTAGACCATCAAGATATATAAAAAGTTATCTCTAAAGGTTTTGTTTCTAAATCTAAAAGTACTTACGAACAATATTTTGTCATTGTACAATATAACAAATTGCAGTTGATAGATAAGTATTGTATTGCTCATGGAACCCAGCATAACCGCTTTTGTATCCGCATTGTATAAATGTGTGAGTTGTAAGTTGTTTGTGTGCGTCGAGGTGGCTGTACACGTGACGAAGTTTACGCTGACGTGGTCCGAAGATGTATCTGCAGATTTCTGTGATTATGTACACAAATGTAGTGAATCATATTATCGTTTCTCGCTTGCTCTCATTATTGCCGGTTCCATACGTAAATATGGAATGTATGGAAGAAATTTTTAAGCTTTGATTATTTTTAAGCTTTGATTATTATTAAGCTTTGATGAGAAAAGTATGAGACACTTTTGTCTCCATTTCAATGAAAAATCTAAATACATGCAACGATAAATTTTAAATTTGAAGTTACTGATTGAATTATCTTTATTTATTGTTATTCTGTATTAGTAGTAGTAACTTTAATCTACACATCAGTTTTTATTGGTGTGATACAAAAATCTGCCTCATTATTTACTTGTAGTCCATATTTTTTATGCTAATAATGATCGTTAATGATTGTTTTTGTTGTGTAACTGACACTAGGGCAATGAGTTGACCGTGTTGTATATAAATGATCCAACCCACGAGTTGGCACAGATGGCTAAATCAAAAGATTGATGTCAAATTATAAAAAAAATATCTGTATTTATAGCCATTAGTAAAAAGGTTTTATTATAATTTTAAAGATATAAATATTTTTACAGCACAATGATATGCTATGATTTAAACACGAATTATTGGAAGCGGTTATTTGGCATTAATAATTTTGTCAGTTGGTTGATTAAATCGTTCCTCTACAAAACGGCTAAGCTCGTTTCTATAGATCTATTTAAATATATTAGAACTAGCTTTTTCTCGTGGCTTCGCCAGCGTATGTGTTGGTTACTGTGGTAAAAAGTAGCCTATGTTACTCACTGATAATGTAGCATTCCATTTGTGAAATAATTTTTTTTAATTATTATCTGAATTGTCTCACATGTATGCGACAAAATTTCAATTATCGATTTGAAACTCCCTTTGAGCCGTCGAAATAATAACAATTTATAAACCTGCCAGATGTAGTCGTCTGGCTATTTGATTACCTGGTATTGACACCCTTTTAATTGCATGCGAATTAATTGAACAGGGGCAAAAGGGGAGCTCCCTTTGATACATGCTGGGTTCTCTATAATTACTGTTACTGCTATTTAGATTTCTATATCCCAATGACGGAAACAACCGACCATTTTTGAATTTACTTGTGTTTTTTTATGACATCATTTATACTTTCGATTAGAGAACTTCTAGGTTTTTTTTCATAGTAGAAAAATAGTAACGTGTTTTAATTTTTATTCGTCTTAGACGATGTAGACTTGAATATTTAGGGCTGAACACCTTCACTGCTGCCTATATTATATACGAAATAACCTTTAATAACCTAACTAATGTACGTAGAATGTGTTTTCAGCACTGGAGAATTGTGAATAGTCGACAGTTATTCTGAAAATACATAGAAATTTAAGACTTTGTTGCCATTTTTATTTATGTATAAAAATAAATGTTTTTTCCTGATTCTTAAGACCACTATATCAAGTACTTTTTGTGTTCCTCGTGAGAACTGAGGCTATTATCATTCATGATAAATTAATAATAAACTTAAACATATAAATATATCTGAGGTTTCCCAACCACGTGTGTGTCTAAAAACACACGCGTCTGGTTATTCGATTACGTTAGTTGTCGCCGTCAGCTGTTAGACGTACTCTGATCGGCCTTCGGCCTCGCTCGCTCGCACTTGCAGTCTCATTCTCATGAGCAATGACGAACTCCGCGAAGATAAGACGCGTTTCAGGGATAATGAAAAATAAAACAAGATGCCAATGTCGTTTGCGTTAGCTTCGTCTTTGCAACTTTGTATAAACATAATTATATGTACAATGTTATAAAATTGTTATCCTACACGCTACATACGCCTTTCTTAACGGTAAGCGGTTACCAGCTACTCGGACTGCACGGATGGCGTAGTGGTTTAAGCGGTCTCAACGCCGCTTCCTACTACGCCGAGTGTTGTTACCTCACATGGGACGACACTTAGTGTGATCCACAAACTGTTGTTCTGAGTCTGGGTGTTCTTTGTGTCCGTTTCATGTACGTTTGTAAAGTCCCCCGCGACACAGGCTATATTCCTAATGCGGTAGTTGTCTTTTTAAAACAAAAAAAAACTACTGAAATAAATAATAAATAAACAGTTTAAAAGTATACGTCGTAAAGTATATTAAAGGCCATGTTTGAAATTACACCAAAGGACATTAGTGCAGTCAATGCAGGCGAATATTTTTCACCTTTATCTTTCTATACTAATATTGTAATTGCATCTAGACTGTATACAGTCCATAGGAATAGCTGCGATACAGATATTTTATTTTATTTAATAGGAGCTGAGCATTAAATGTTGCAAAAACAGGGAAAATGTATTCCTTTTGAGAGACGCAGGCGAAGTTACGCGGGTCAGCTAGTATAAAATATACTACCCTAATGGAGGATTGCTATCCCATAGATAATATTTTACGCAGATTAACAAAAGATACGGCAATATTGTGGTTGCATAAACAAACTTTTCTAACATGGGTCATAAGATTTTTTCCCAAATTTTGAGTCGAATTTAGTGCGTCTTAAATAATAATAATTCTTTCTATTGAGCTATTGATCTTTTCCATTTCAACAGAAAAAAAAACTGTTCATTTCTAGATCGCAGAAAACTAGTTTAAACAGAACACTTAAAAATATCTATCATTTAGTCACCTATAAAACATATTTGACTCCGAAGCGTCTGTTCTCTGTGTAAAAATCGATATCGTGGTATTAATTATTACATAGGCTATAAGCCATGAACTGTCTGTATCGCGGTATGTTACGAATCAACTTCATTCATTTCATTGGAACAACGGTGGGCATTTGCAGTAATCATAAGGACAGTGAGGCTCTGATCACTCGTATTTCATCATCAGGACTGAAATACACAGGTTGTAGTAGTGTTTCATAGAGCCAAGACAAGTTTCATTTCTATGTCGCTGAACGTAAACTAAACTAAAAACAATACGAATGAACCTTTTATGAAGCATTAGTTTTAATGGAATAGGATTTTGGTCTACAGAAATTCCTTGCATGCCTTTTTCTAATGTATAGGCATATAGATTTAAGTATATAGAATACAAAATAACATTTTACGTATCCTGTAGCACACAAGGAAGGAGGAAAATGCCAAAGCTACGTGTGCTGCTGTATAACCATTTGTATACCAACTGGAAACTTTTTGTTTAAACGATTATTATGCATATGACGTCACTCACCATCTAAATATGCGAATAATATAGCACAAAATGCTTGTTTATTCGAGGCTCTTAGTTTGGTTTCCAACCGCTATGTAACGGGTAAATAAGACACGAGTAATGGCAATTGTGTGACGTGTCAGTTGGTCTAGTGGTTACATGGTGGTGGTGGTGGTGGTGGTATACATTTCACCAAATTTCACTATCTCGGGAACAGTGCTTTTCACCAGGCAAGGGTGGATTAAGGGGAAGCTATTGTAGTTATGACCCCGTACTGAATATAGTTCGTACAATTTTAAGGAAGTAAACTAACTGCACTATAGGTTTTGCGCTGCGATACGCTGCGCTGTAGTTCGACATAAGTGTTACGGTTTACGTATACAGAAATAAAACAAGATTACTAATATTTGTTTTTTATTTTGCATTGATATAACCAATAAAATGTTTAAATTGAACTTGCTTTTGCCTACGGCTTCGCCCGCGTAAATATCAATTTTGTTAATAAATTTTAGCCTCAGCTCAGCACAGAGTTTAGACTATAATCTATCCATGTGTCAGATCTCGTCCAGATCGAGAAAGCCGTGTTAACTTACGTTTTGAAAAGTTAAAAGAATAGGCGTCTAAATGTTGACTGCACGGATGGCGTAGTGGTATAAGTGAGTGTTGAGCTCCCCACATGGGACAACACTGTGTGATCCACAAATTATTGTTCTGAGTATGGGTGTTCTTTGTGTCCGTTTCGTGTGTATGTAAAGTCCCCCGCGACACGATATACCCCTAGTGCGGGAGTTGTATAAAAAAATTGTAATGTTATTGTTTTTGATAGAGAATATAATTAAGGGAAAAAATAAGGGAGTTAAAAAAAATTGTAACGAAGATTTATTACTTTTAATGAGTTTGAAAACGCTACTACCATAAATAACGAAGTTTCATATAAATTTCTAACCACCATTTTACACTTAAGGGTTTCAGTAAACCAGCGGTTTCAGTAAATCAGTCTGTCAGTTTCTTCTTTTATACGAGTAGATATAGATGTGTACTAAACCATGTCCGTTTGTGTATTGGAACGACTTTTGCCCTGGTATCATAGATATACTACACGAATGTATGTTTTAACTTTTTTTATTGTATTGTTACAGCGCTATGGGAGGAGCAAGAGGCACCCGAGTACGACATCGACTCGGAGGACGAACGGTGGCTGAAACAGCAGAGGCATCCCGAGCTCACAGGTTATAACCCTCAATGGATTTTATAATTTGTTACCTATACTTTGTTGTGTTTTCTGAAAAGTTAAGTAATAGTTGTTTCACAACTTCTGTTTCACAACTAGACTAACTAACGCTAAAATACCGTATTAAAATCGAAAGGAAGTACCTTATTTATATTGCAGGCTTAGTGTGACAGTTATTAGTTAATTAGTATGATGTCAATTGGTTGCTTTATAATTGTTTGTTTTTCTCCAGAACTGAAGTTCGAACAGATGATGGACAAATTGGAGAAGAGTTCGGGCCAGACGGTGGTGACGCTGAACGAGGCGAAGCTACTGCTGGAGAGGAACGACGATCTCGTCATCGCTGTTTACGATTATTGGCTCAACAAGAGGCTCAATACGGTTAGTGTATGTAATGTTGCAGTACCCTAGTTTGACTTAATTCACCAGCTTTTAATTTGCTTTGTTTAATATTAGTATTACGGGAATTAACGCACGCCCACGATAGTTACTCTCATATAGCTAAATATATACAGATAGCTGGCTCAGCCTGCTCCCCGGGGCAGTGCAACCTGCCCGAAACGTCAGGCAATTATGTACTTAATAACTATCAAGAGCGCGTTAATTCCCGTCAATTATGTACTATGGAGAGCGATTGTTTAAAAAAACCTTCAAGCAATCACTGCCATTAGATCTCGATCTATAATATAATAATCTTACACATCTCAATCACAGCACTCACTCTTTTACATCCAGACAACACAAAAGATCGAGGTCATCAGACAGGTGACCTATATTCCAAGTGACCTATATTCCAGGTGGAAATCAACTAAACTATAAATCAAGTTGTTGAAAACATTGATTATCTTTTTTTGATGAGATTATTTGTAGCACTTCGTAGACATTATAATATCATCCATGTAGTATTTATTTGTAAATAAATGATTTTGATGCAATAAGATGATTTGAGCTAGTACCTATACTATAATTTACAATTTGGAATGGTTTTACGCCATACTTGAAATCGATATTAAACGTTCTTAAAAAGCCTTTCGTCTCTAGTATTGACTTAATTACAACCAAATTATTGAAATTCAAGTTACAACAAATTTCCTCATATTAAGCCTTTTACAATATTAATTTTCAATTATGTATGTTAATAAAATTAAACGTGGAGAATATATTATATTGGTAAATATTTATTTTACAATCCATTATAAATTCTTTATAAATTTAATATTTTTATTTTAATCTAATCGCTAATATTTTTGTAGCCTATAATTGACTACATTTAAAAAAATGAAATAAACAAATGAACAGAGTATAAGAAATAAGTGGTGAAAACTTAAGAATCAGGTATTAAAATAAACGTCAATATTTGTTGCAGCAACACCCGCTGGTCCTATCTGTGAAGACAGAGAACAGGCCGGGCCAGTCATCCAACAACCCTTACCTGGCGTTCAGGCGGCGTACGGAGAAGATGCAGACCAGAAAGAACAGGTGACACTTCACTTTTCAAAAACTGTGCAAACAAGAGGACCTTGTGACAAATGATAAAGACTTTGCCCAAAGATATTCTAAAAGGCGTAATTTCTCGCCGCTTTTTAAAATTCACGAAAGAAATTTGCGAGTGGCTATCAGCACATATTTTATTTCATAACACATGTTACGCAATAACCATTGTTTTATTCCCAATTTGACAATATTGTTTTTTCATAAAAAGAAGAAAAATATTTGTACATGGTTGACATCGGGCGAATAAACTGTGTGTGTAAGACAAAAACATGTAATAATGTGTACGAAAATTTTTTGCAGGAAAAACGACGAGAGTTCGTACGAGAAGATGCTGAAGTTGCGTCGTGACATAGCGCGCGCACTTTCCTTGCTGGAGATGGTGGCCCGCAGGGAGAGCGCGAAACGTGATCTGGTGAAGCTCACTGCGCTAATCGCGGAGCGACGCTACGCCGCCGGCGACTTCGCCAACCAGTTGTTGCCTGATCCTCCACCGAGGTATCTACATATTCATCATTCATTAAAATCTTTCTGCCTTGTAACACTTTCAATATGAATGATACCTGTGGGTCGCCAGCGGGGTATAGTAGGACCTCCTTTCTAAGGAGAGGTCAGACGTAAACAACCCCGTGCGCAAGTTGTCCTGGCAGATTGGCTTGTTCCTTTGAATAATACTTAAACTTACTTCGAAAAAATCATTATTAACGGAAGTTATTGACAACTTCTGAATCAATTTCAATTCACAAGAGAAACTATTTGTAATGATGTATGTTGCATTCAACATTTTCAATGTATTCGACTGCTTGCAACTGAGATCGTATGCGCCTTCAACAATTTGTGCAAATGACAGTGTCTGCTGAACCTATTTAAATATTTCATTCAGGAAGCGACAACTGGATACATTCTTTGATTTGACTTGATTTCACTCTAAAATATGCATACATTAAACTGATGATACAGTTAAATAAAACATGTGTAATAAATAAGTTTTAAAACGACATCAAAATAGGAGAAGATTCTTAATTCAGTGGTATTTTTTCTTATTTTTACCTCACACGTTCCTCAACTTCGTCATTTGGAAAATTATTTTTTTATATGGGAGGGTATACTTCCTATTATGTTTTGAAGAACAAATACTAACCCCCAAAGTTGGAAAATTAAGGAGTGAAAAATACAGTTTGATACAATTCATCATGATTTCATTGAAGTTGGTGATACTTTTTAAAAGTTAATTATTATCAATTAAAATATTTAACTTTGTCTCACAGGCCAGCATACACTGCGGTTCAAATAGCGTCCAGCAACTTCCGCCGTGAAGCCTACACACTCCCACACTACCCGCCGCGACCGCCTCCCACACCTGTCGACCAACCCAGACAGGTACCTATCCATTCACTTCACACTTATCACCGGGGATTTCAAACAATTGCTAAGTGTAAATTGGACTTAATTAAGTTCACAGAATCACAGGTAAATTAAAAAATAAACCTTACGGAACCAAAAATCAAAGACCACACAGGAGATACTGATTCACCACTAAATCCCAGAAAGAGACGAGACATTTCGTTATTTTGTGTGTTTTTCATGAATTGTCGCTAGGAAAGCCCAAAGCGCAGTCTATGTACAGATTTATATATAGAAACACTAGGTAGTGTGTGTAGTTGGTACTGAATGTCTCTTCTTTATTGATTTCTGCAACAAAATCTGCGGTTAATCCTAATATAGACCTGTGTATGACTCTGACTGAGGGGCATCTGTATGCTGCGTATTTCTTTCTAAGTTTAAACATGCTACTTGATGTGCGATTACTTGAATTTGTTCTTTTATAATCGCACCAGGTACCGGTTTTGATCTGGATACCTAAAACACAACATTCTGATTATATTTTATTCATGACTAAAATATTTAGTCCTGAAAATATTATTAATTACTCGCCTATTCGGTAATCGTACCTTGTCCATATTATGATTATAAGTTTAGTTGATCAACATATATTTCACAAGTGTATGTTTGTTTGTTCGTCAGCTTTCAATTTTAATGTCAATATTGTTATGTCAGGACAAGATATTTTTTCTAAATTTGAAAGCCGCGAGCTTAAACAAATTTTACTCTCTCCTAAATTTAAAAGAAAATATGTGAGCGAGTACGATATTATGTTGTCGTGTTGCCTTCCAGCGTGAGAAACGACCGTACAAGAGACGAAAGCACAGACACCCTGCGCCCGGGATTGTGCAGGGGCTTAGAGGTACGTATTCTACCGTGCATGCACCGGGCGTGAACGTGCACCACTCTTGTTACGTGGGGGATGACCAAGCTTCGCGTAATAGGAGCTTGGCGAAGGTTAAGTTGAAGATTTTTTACATTTGGCAACACTGAGATTTTGAACTTGGCAACACTAACATATCTACGAAATCCATTCTGGCAACACCAACATTTTTGATGATTAAATTAAACAAACGAAATTGATTTATACAAAACAAAAATAGGTAGGTTTCGCTACGTAAATTTCAAGCTGTTAAAAATACATTAGGATTTGTGAATAGACAATGAATTTAATCGTGGGACATCCATGTTTCGGCACAAATGGGCCGGCTCTATCACAGCCTCACAGAAAACCGGTGTTAAGTAATTATTTCGTGACTTCTCACTGAGTGAGTGAGGTTACAGAGCCTCAATTCCGGGGGTGGGGGGGATTCCTCAAAATGCGGGAACGCAGTTGTCTCTTGAGTTGCAGGTGTCCAAAGGGCAGCGGTAGTCACTTACCATCAGGTGAACCGTCTGCTCGTTTTTGCTATTCCATAAAAAAGATATGAATAATTTGTTTTCAAGTTCATGTATACCAAATTATAAAAAATGTACTATTACAAACAAAATATCATTTTCTATTTACGACGGTCTAGTCAGGTACTCAGATTATACTATATCGTTATTTAGCGTGGCTATATGTATTATTCGGATAAGGTGAGCGTACAGAACTGTTGGCTAGCGATAGAGTGTGTGAGCAGTGATCCATTGTCTCCACAGACTCGGGCGTGTACACCTCTTCGGAGGAGGAGCCCAGCAGAGCGGAGACCGCCACCCCGCCCGACGATGGACCCTTCGCCTTCCGACGGAAGCCTGGATGCTACTACGAAATGGTATGTATTTCAGTTATTACTTATAAATGTGATAGAGTTTAGTTGCGATGATTATTTTTTAACTTTGGTAAGTCTGGACTTAACCGTGATAATATTGCCGAGGAATAGAAAACTTCGCAAACGAATTCGTAAAAAACACGTGTTTTGTTGTTGTTACACACTTCCGTCCCTTCTGTAACACATCGAAAATTTCATCTATCAACGAATACATAAAATACTCAATAAATTATATTCATAAAGTAGGAGTATTTGTAAATAGGGATATATGTACGCACAATCTTATTGCTTTTGGTATACTAAAGCTGTGTTGTTGACAACTTTTGTGTTATTTGTAGCCCACGTCAACACTGCATGGAGACCCGGTGGACCCAGAGGATCCTTCAAAACAGGGAATGTACGAACACGAAATGGATGAGAGGCATAGGTAGGTGTCGTTTTATATTTCTTACAATATGAATGACATAACAAAGTATTGGAATACAGATGTTTTACGATTTAAAGACTTAAATAAATAGAGATTTATAACTTCTTTTGATTTGATCTCGTGTGTGATAATTTCACATATTTACGAGTATCTAATAATATAAATAATATAAAAAGTAGTTTTACTATCAGTCAATGCTACATTAGATAAAGGTGTTAAAATAATACTCCTTTTATTAGAATATATTATGTAATGTGTTCCAATATTACAACTACTGGTTCAGGTTCGATTGTATCAGTTAAAATAAAGGAATTAGATGAATCGGTATGTAGTTGTGACGCGGCTCGTGTGTGCAGGTACACGCTGACGTCGCTGCGCGCGCCGGGCTCGGGCGGCGCGGGGCGCTGCGTGGGCTTCGCGCGGCGCCGCGCCACCCGCGGGGGCCGCCTGGCGCTCGACCGCGTGCGCACGCCGCTCGACGACCTGCTGCCCGACCTGCCCTTCAGCTTCCCGCACTCGCACCACTACCGCCAGGAGAAGGACGAGGAGGTAAACCTTACTTCGCGCTTATCTCTACCGTCCATGAATCTTAATCTATCGTTATGACGACCCACATCAAAAAAAAATTAAAACCGAGACCATACTTTTAATTGGTCCTTCGAGCCGATCGTGACGTTCAGGAGTTATAACTATGACGTCGAGTATATGATTTGTCTAAAAAGATATCATAACTGTAAATGACGATAGTTCTTTAGAAAAAAGTTGAACGGTGAGTGTGTTCATTCTAGGTGGAACTCGAGACGCAAGCTCACAGAACGCCAAAAGAAATGTCGAGAGACTACCACACGAGCGGCAAATACCCATGGAGGCATGCGTTCAGACGACACCTCGCGAGAAACCCGGACCTTTGGACTGAACCCGCGCCCGATGACGTGGACGTCAAATTATCGGACGTCGACGTCAAACCCGAGCCGATGGACGAGGAGGAGCCTCACGGCACTCCGACCCTGGCCGACAGGGCCGACAACCTACCCGACGTCATACAAGACAGTGTTAAAAGTGATATTAGATTTAGTGCAAGAACTATTGACAATGTTGTGAGAGAAAATATAGATAGAGTGATGCGCAAACGAGCGTACAGTGCGTGTAGTGATAGCAGTTACGACTCGGACGAAAGCCTACAACCTGTTGAGATGGAGTTCGAGAAATTCTTCAATGAAGTTAAAAAGTGGTAAGTAATACTCTAGCTTAAGTTTCTTGGAATGTATCGTTAACATTTTTCGCGGATTCAATTAAATCATAACACAAACTAGGATCCTCTACTGCTCCTAGTTTTCTCAATAATAAGAATAGTAACAGCCAACACTAGTTTTAAAGGGGAAACGAAAATATAGCGCTAGAGCAAGTAGCGTAACGTGAGTTCTATCATGCAAGGCGTAAGGCGCGAAATTCAAATAAACATATTTTTCTACTGGGGTTGTTTCGCGAGTACGCGAGGCCCCGATCGCTTGCCCTACTCGCCTTTACTACTAACTTTTTAATTGTAGGTTACATTTCCGACCAAAAACACCACCACAGTCGCCGATGCGCGAGGACAAACACGAGGACCAATTTCCGGTCGCTTTAGACACACCGATCTCAGTAGAATTGAGGGCGGCGGAAAAACCGCCTTCAGAAGAACTTGGCACATTCACTACCTCGGAGTTCACTCTGGGTGAACTGTACCCGGAAATTAACCCGGATGTGGACAACAGTGGCAGCAGTCTTGACATCAGTGGAGACGATCTGCTAACTGATAATTTCACTGGTAAGTTGTTAACATTGCTAATCAATATTATAGTTTTTAGCTAGTAAAATAGATTTTAAGCACACATTTTCGTATAAGATTTAATAAATTTTGACGCTTAGCTAAATACAATCGTGTAATTTTTCTTAACAGTTTAATAATTTAGTATTTTGCAAAGAAACTTGCCATTAAAACATGTCCATTTAAAATGTCTTTCTTCTATCTAAGCCTTACCCTAGGTTTATATTGTTATACCCCAATATTGACAGTAAAAGAGACTATATCGTAAGAATTGTCATGGTTTGTAAATTTAGTGCTAGTGCTGCCAGATTCTTCCTATTTAGTGATATGCTTTAGCTGGTCCATGTGTCTCTACTGACATATCCCTACTTTCATCCGTTTTCAATTTATTTCCACCGGTTAGGATATTTTGAAATTCCTGTGGGGTTATTTATTTATTTAAAACTTTATGCACAAATGTGGCAGAGTTATGCCTTTGCTAAGATTTCTTGGAGTACATGAATGATCTGTAGACAGTACAGTAATACTGTAAAAAAAATGTATCTCGTTATTGTAAATAAGTTGTACTTTCAGGTCTAACAGAAGCCCAAGTAGAGAGCATTCTGTCAGAGACAGACCTCAAGGAGTTGGCTGACGAGGCTGACAAGAAGATTGCAATAACAGACGACATACTGGACGAGCTGGTAAACAACGTTGACGCCAAGGATTCTTTTTTATTGCACGGCCAGAGCTCGGAGGGGCGTGCCGACTCTGGCCCGAGAAAGAGAAAGGTAATCCAGCTTACATATTTATTTATATAGGCTCTCCTGTTTTCTCATACACAAAAATTACAGGAAATACTTTGTGGATTAAAGAAAAGAGCGAACCTTACAGTCTGATAGTGTATTCTATCACTGAGCCTTCTCATTGGACACGTCATATTTTTGACGTTTGACGGGCCCAGTGTTTAGTGACCCTGACTGCGTAACCGGAGGTCATGAGTTCGATTCCCACGCGGGACAAAAAATTGTGTGATTTGATCTGGGTCTGGGTGTAATTTATCTATAATATGTATGTATTTAGAAATATATAAGTATGTCTATCAGCAGTCTGGTTACCATAATACAGGTTTTGCTTACTTTAGGATCAGACGGCCGTGTGTGAGATGTGTTATTATTGTTATATTTGTTTTTCACATTGTTTTGTTCATTTTTTTCAAATGACATTTGTTACAATAGCTGCCGGCTTCTGGCTTTCCAATTATTACCATCTCATTTCAATGAATACCTCCTCTATATTCTAGAAAAGTTGGAAAAATTATATTCTACATCAAAAACTCTCAAATTTTACGGTTTAATTGGTTTAACAGTAAACCTATTATGAATGTAACATATTGTAATTATCATTATCAGCCGTTAAGAGTCCACTGCCTGACATATGCCTTTCCTTTGAAATGAGGTTTTGCCCTATACTATATATACGCTAGCCAGATGGGTTGGTTTCAAGTTTTCCTTCTTTTTGCAGTGCTGTTGTCCTGCTGAGTTTGCTCCCTTAGTCGGTCTTACGACATCCATCTGATAAATAGGGGTGGTGACCGTATTCTTAATCCGTCACCATACGGACATGTTGTAAATCATAGTGTTTCTGTATTGTATAGGCGGATTCGTTCGGTTCGACCGTCGTGAACGTAACCCCCGTGGATAAAGAGCCCATATACGTTGACATGGTGATACCTGAACCGCCGCCAGTCAAGCTCGAAACGCCCAAAAAGATTAAAGACGAGAAAATCAATGACATCCCCGCGCCTGTACCCAACTCGAAGATCATCGTCGAAGAAGTCAATGAAGTACCGCAGATTAAAATTGAGAAGAAAAGGAAAGAAGACACAATTGAAGAGGTATGATTTAGTATTGACCTCCTTAAAGGATCTTGTGAAACATTAGATTATTAAATATGAGCCATTCACCTGCATAAAAGGCACTCCTGATGCCCAGAAACATTATCCATTTCTGTTGAAACTCTTTAATTCTGGATCAGCAGTTATGATTTCAAAAAAATTTACTTTTGAATTTGAAAATTTGAACTATGCTATAGTTGAACATTTAGCCGAAATCTACTTCCGAGTTGATCTTACCTAAAATTTATAATATTTGAGACCGAATAACTGTAAGCAGTCAAAGCTATAATTGAATGCGAAATTATAGAAAATATATGACTGGTCCAACAGATCTGATGATGATGAACTAATTGAAAGGGAGTAGAACTTTTCATTGTTGGTTTTACCAAACTATAATCACTAATAGGTGCAGTTACCACATGGCGTACAACTGAAGACAGTGCAGACGAAGCACTCACCGCTCAAGAAGCACATAATCACGTCGGCCGGGCACCGGCGAGCCAGTGACGTCACCATCGTGACGTCAGTTGCCGCCTCGGACCCGCCCACGCTGCCGCAAGTGCAGGCCGCGTCACAGCCGCAGATTGTCACTGTCGCTGTATCAGATAGCTTGAAGGTATATTTTCATTTTATCTGCCTCGAAATCTTCTATTTTAGATTATGCTAGCGTTTTGTCACTCCTCCACTCTCATTTATAACGTAAGGAATCTTTGAATAAGGAATTAGTTGTACTTTCCACGCCATTGTCACTGACTTCCACACGTGACTAAAACACCAAAACACAAAATATATATAGGTACACTTATATCATAACTTTTATAACAAAAATATGAATTCACATTTTTTGACAATGGAGTAAGTGGTCATTACCATTGAAAGTAATTGTTATATGTTAACAGTGTCGATTTTTTGTCCAGGTTCGGTTACAAAATCATCTATTGTCGAGTCAAGCAGGAGTGTTAGTACAGAATGGACCTTTCCCACCGGTGGCTGTTGCGGTGCCAGTGCAGCAGAGAGATGGCACAGGTACGATATTTTATCAGCACTACATTTACTACCTGTTTTTTTTAGTGACCACCAGACATAATATCTTGAATCTATATAATATTATTGAACATAATATAATTGAATCTATACTTATAAATAAAAATTAATTGCCAAAATGTATTGCTAGGCTTAAAACTCGAGAACGGCGAGATCAATTCGGCAATTTTTTTTATGTTTTCGTTAAGGCACGAAGAAGAGTTTTCAAGAAGAAAAAAAACGTTAAAATTGCAAGGCAAATAGTGAAAACAACACCTTTTTTTTCATCCAAACCACTTACGTAAAATAGAACGTCTGTTCATAGCTGTCAAACATTTAAAGTCAATCAAAACAAAACAAAGGCGCGTTAGGATTACCTTTGGGATGCCTTCAAGTTGATTAGGCTGTACCAATCTTAAATGTATTCCTACCCAAAATAAAGTTCGAAGAAAAGTTATAACTCTGAGATACGTTTTATTTATTTTATTGGATTGCTACAGACCAATAACTTTTGACACAACAAAGTCTGTTGGAGCGGCTAGTGTAAAATATATTTTTCAGATACCAATAAACACGTTTCGTCTCATGTACCTTACTGAGTTAAGTTGTTTCTTTAATCCACTCATCAATGTCTGTCAATCTTTTCATTAAAGGAAGATCTTTAAAGAATATAATATAAGATATCGATCTGCCTTGTTTTTAAAGACAACCCGCACTAGGAATAAATCTTGTGTCGCGGGGGACTTTATAAACATACATGAAACGGACACAAAGAACACCCTACCAGAATTATACTATTATTATGATAGAACTACACTGCAGGGCCTTTTATAGGCCCGCTCCGATCTTGCCGGCCGCTGCCACTCGCCACTGGCGTATACGACTCGACGGCCGTTGGGTCTTTTAAACCAGTAATATCTTCTAAAATATTCATTTTAATGATAGGCTGTGAAGAGCAATTATAATCCATATTAAATACACAACGTATCTAACGTATTAAATTGGATAATTAATCGCGATGAAAAAAGCCGCCAAAATTCCCGTTTCTTTCCAATTTCTTTTTTTTTTTTTCAATGTTTCATTCGAAAGTTTGAAGAAAATTTGCCGGTATATATTTCATGTTTTTTTTTTCAATAACACGGAAAAAACTCGAAACTACGAATAAAACGGGCAATATTTCACTTAGGTTAGGATATCTATGCTTTAATGTTTTCCAAAATAATAGGCTAGGCGCGGCCCCGATCTCACTGTTGTTCCTACATCTAGTTGTCAGTTGTTTAAATACCGGTATCATTTCAAACAATCAAGAAACAAATGAGAAAACTGTGTTTCCGCATGACTGTTTTGAAATTGCTTACAAGAAAGATGCCACTTTAAACTATATTGAGGAACGCAGATTATTTTGTATTCAGCCCATTCATTTGACCGCGTATTTGCGGGATCCTAGGTTCCACAATTCGATAAGCTTACATTACGAACCCTTAAATGACTTTTTCAAGTGTCCCAGTATATAGCTAAGCTGGTTAACATTATGCAAGAGACACATGTGACTGACGCTGGTTACCAGTTTCTTCCCGAAGAATTCTTTCTGTTAATTTTTCTATTTAACATGTGAAAAAACAAAAAAATACCATATTTTTCGACATTTTCAACGATAATAGGGAATAATAATGCATCTCAAGGATGCTTCGTAGCGCCCCGCGTCCCGCAGACCATCAGGAGGGCCAAGCTTACGGCGGTTTAACTATAGGATCAAATATTGGCCTGATTTGTAAAGGTGTAAAGCGATCCTGCAGCGTGCGTCATTTTTGTGCTAGACATGCGTCTAGCACAAAAATGACGCACACACATAGTATGCATTGTTTTTATCTAACAGAGCGCATATTACATTATACTGTTTTTTCGTGTAACTATAAAACATGGACATAATAAAAATTAAGAGTAGTCACTGTGTGACGATGTGACGTGTTATCAGTTTTGTGGTGTGGCGACTTCTCTATACGGAATTAAATGCTTCAGCTTTATTTAACTACGGGAATAACTGTTAATTTTGTATCGCGTTATGAAAAGTTTCGATAAGGTAACTCGCGTAGTAGTATTTTATATGGAATTTATATCTTTACAGGTACGGCGAGCGTCAGCGGGGTGAGCGCCGTGACCGCGAGCGTCAGCAGCAGCGTGGCGGCCAGCGCGGCCGGCGCCGCTCGCCGCGTGTCCGCGCCGCTCGTGCAGCTCGCCGGCACCGCGCTCGGACACAAGCACGTGCACGTGCACGGCGCCGCGCACTCCTCGCCGCTCGTCGTGGCGCAGTCGCACACCATCCACCACGTGGCGCCCTCCAAGCTCAAGGTGCTGCACGCGCACCCTCTCACGCAGAGCCAGCGCACGGCGCTGCTGGCGCAGAACCGGGCGCTGCAGGGCCTGCCCGCGGTCGTGTCGCTGGCCTCGCTCGACGGCAAGGCGCCCGCCGCCGCGCTGCTCAAGGCGGCGCCGGGCGGCGTCGCGCAGCTGTTCGAGATCAAGGGCGGCCAGCTGGGCAAGGGGCCGCACCTCGTCAACGTGGTGCGCGGGCCCCCGCCGCGCCCCGCGCCCGACGACAAGCGCCGCGTCAACCTCAGCCTGGACGGGCGCCAGCTCGTCATGCCGGTGCGCCAGCAGATCCAGCTGCGCACGCGGCCGCTGCCGCTCACGCGGCCCGAGACGCCGCGCGCGCTCGTGGCCAACCTGCTGCACAAGGGCGTGCCGCTGCCGCGCAACGTGACGGGCGTGCAGGCCATCGCCTTCGCGCCGGGCGGCGCGCTGAAGACGGCGCGCGCGCGGCTCGTGGGCCCCGCGCGCGCCGCGCCCGCGCCCGCCACGGACGCGCCGCCCGCCGCCGCGCCCGGCGCCGCGCCGCCCGACCCGGACACGCCGCGCGCCGACACGCTGCCCATGGAGGTCACGTGACGTCACGTGCGAGCGCGCTAGTGCCCCCCCTCCCCCTATTTATTTCGACGCCGCGGTCCTCCCGCTCTGTACGTATTACGTTTCATATTTAATCTATACTAGTGAATTTTAGCGACCTAAACGCAGCGTTACGTTGTTTTTAAGTAGGACTTTTTTTAATAAACGAACGTGAACCCTTTTTAACCTTCTTGAATATGAGTTAAGTGTGACCCGCTTTTGATCGCGAATCGACCTTCGTACTCTACGATTTCGATTTCGATCCTACGAGTCTTACCGGCTTTTACGAGAAAATGTTATCGTTCGATTTACATAATACGGAAAAAATAAAAATAAAGTATTAGCGGAGCGATACAGTCGGCCTAGTTTAACTACCGAGTAACTTTGATCAAAAGACAGACTTCATCGTTCACTAAAACGGCTCGTTTAAATATGAGCCCACTAATTAATCCAAAATAATTTCGGTCACTGTTACCCGAGTAGCCAAAGTATGCCCAGGTTTTTATTTTTCTATTGTACAATAATGTAACTATAAACTACAAATGCTTAAGTCGTCCTTGTTGTATATATACAGGCTATATCCCTCGCCGAAGATGCGATAACGTCTTATTCGACGTTTTGAATTCATTAAAAAAACCGTTTTTTAAACTTGTGTTTGTATAGCTGTAATATCTCTTAGAAAACATTTGCTAGAAGGTTCATTTATCAAAATTAAGGTTGGCCAGTCAACAGCAATACTTAAATATGTAAATAACTATACAACTATACCTCACAGGAACTGTTTATCTTGGCCTATGGACCTCAAACTCACTCAATAGCTGTACCCCGCTGCCTCAAACGAATGATCAAATAATGGCAGAAACTTGAAGGGTAGCATTCAAAAACATTTGTTTAGTGACATGTTTGTTTAATGACATGTGTGCGTTTGCGAACATATCACCCAACATTTTTTTTATTTGATTTGCAGCTGTACACACTCAAGTCTCTATATAACTATGTCTCAAATTATAGTTACATTTAGCATACATGCTTGTAAAGTTATTTAAGGCTGTGACATAGATAATACATTGAGCGAATTGTTTGAGGACGAGCCAGATTATCCTCAGTCAAGTGCGACTGGCTATTTGTGTATACAGATGCCCTAGTTCTTGAACTATCAATCAATCTTTGAGCAGTATAAGAAAATTAAAGCCTCATGCGTTTTCGAAATAAAATAAAACTATTTTTTCACTACTTAATCTATGATTAGATAGCGTCGATTCGCTCTATCTGGCATGTCCTCATCAATTTCTAGCCAAAAAAAGAAAATATTCAGTAGTCTGTTTTTTTTTCCTTTAATTGTATAAAGAGCACGCGTACCTACATACGCTAAGTGTATATTTAAATGTGTATGAGCATAAAAAATAAAATAAAAATAATGAAAAAATGTGTAAAATAATAGCCGCATTACTGTGTATCATATAGTTTTATGTGTATTATAATAATTAATATGTTTACTTAATTATTTTGTTCACTGGCAGGACCAGTGCTTGGAGGAAAGTTGAAAAAAAAATGACTAATTGTCGTTGGTCACGTGGTGTATACACACTGAGTTAATTATGAGATCTGTAGTTATATATGTCTTAATGGATTACTTCCGAAGAATTTTACTAATAAAAAGTAAAATCCAAAAAAAAGAATTGCGTATTATTCGGTTCTCATAATTTGCGTTGTTCAAAGTAGAGAGAAAGTAACATTATATAATAAGCTATGCGTCTTACGATCTTTTTGCTTTGAGTGACCTCTACTCACGTGTCGCTGTATACAAACTTCTAATAATGTACTGATTTTAATATAGTGATCAATTCTGTTGTCATAGTCAAAATAAATGTGTAAGTATGTCTGTGCCTACCTGTATAACAAGCTCCATTGTAACATTACGTGACCTTAGCTAATTACTACCATCTATTTTTCTTGTATAAAAATGTAAAATCGAAAATGATAATATACCTTGATGTGATTTATAGATGTCTACTGGCAACACTGTTGACTTAATCGAGTGTTACCATACACCGTTTTGTCTGTCGTGTTGCTATATTAAATAATACTACTATGTAATTTTAAACGATTCGGCGTGAATCACTGCTTTCTCTAGAAGGCATTGTAATTAAAAAATTGTATCGAAATAATTTTAATGACTGCGAATATGCGGTACCTACGTGGTGTTTAGTTGCTGTTATTTCTGCGAATAAATTAAAAAAGCGTTAATCTACCGTATACCCTTTTAAGTCTATTCGAACATCAATACATTGTATTGCGCTTTAATTTTTCATATTTTCTTAAATACAGCTGATTACAAATGTACCCAAATCGTGCCACAGATACTACTATCCCATACTTTGTTTTAGGTATTAGAACTTTTATTTAGACTTATAGTATAAACTAGAAACAGAATCATTGTAATAGTACTAAAGAGAGCTCTAGACAATAGAGAATTTTCTCCAGAAGTTGATGACGACACGCACACGTGTCATACATTAAAACGTAGATACTAATCGAGTTCAAATTAACGGTTAGCGCAATGTTAATGTACCACTATTAGTACAGGATCTAGCTGTTGGAAGTCCAACAGCCAATCGTGTTATTTCTTTCTTATTTCTGTCACGTTCATCGTTCTGGTCGTCATCCATAAATTACGTCACACGAATTTATGGTTTTGTTCCCTATCCCCGTCCTTGTAATATCTGGTCACATTATTATTATTGCCATTTAAATTATTTGTCAATAATACCAACATCAAATCAAACATTTGAAAAAAAATTAAAAGAAAAAAGGATGATGGGTCTGTTAGTACCATAGCACAGGCTCTGGGTAGTTTGGGATCAGACTGCCGTGTTGAGATGTGTGAATTTACTGTTGTTTCTCGTTTAAATACTTATAGTTTTAGGTTTTGGAATGTGACGTCATTAAATCACAGACTTCCACTGCTTGACACACAATGTTACACTTTGTCCACCCCCTGCCCTCCCTTAGTCTTTAGCTTGTGACGTAATCCATGAGTGACCCTTTATCTGCAATGGCAAAATGATAGTAAGTATTTAAAGTCCATCTTTCCTTGGACCCTTTTACTGTAAGCCCAGTTTGAAAAGGCAACATGAACCCGAACATCTATTTAGCATCATTATTAGAATAAAACCAATGCTAAGTTAGATACCGTATTGTCACCAAATTACATTCTGCAAAATTGTGGTCAATTGCACAAAACCCCATTTTCAAATTGTAAATTGCGGCTGGATTTATATAAATAACAATATTTGCCAGAATAGTGACAGCAACTAAACTCACAAGAAATCTTATGTGTATATAATATAATACGGCAATTATAGGAAGACAGTCCCGCCCTGTTTATATTATACGATTTAGAATTGTGGGGTGAACTGCGCGCACTATCTTGTTTTGTCAGATAATAATAATTTATTAAATTCTCCCAAACATATTGGAACGAGTATCAAGAAAGTCCGGCTGACCCTGCTATCTCAATCGTGTAGTATGTAATCCTTTGCAAAGTGAGAGATCCGATAGAGACTGACATTTAGAAAGAAATAGATAATAAAAAAGGGACGTTCTTCTTGTAAATGCTGTGTAAGATGTAAATAAATACTGATGAAAAAACTACTGCTAATTAAACTTTTTGTAAAATATTTATTGTGTGATTTTTTGCATAAAAATTGAATTTGTTTGGTCTGTGTACGCCTTACACAAGCTTGGAAGAAATAACATGTAAGTATGTATTATTTTGTATAACGTGTTTTGGATATTAGGGATAACCATATAATTGTATTTTATTGTTTGGTAATTGTACTATAAACAACGCTCGACCGTGCTCTCCACGCGGCAGCGAGACTGAAATATTAGGTAAAGTTAGTTTGAGAACTTGTGTGTGAGATGCAACGGATTACTTCGCTATATTCTTGTTTAAATTTATCTATAAGTCTTGTATTCTGATTAAATGTCTCTTTAATATTACATGTTATTATTCCAACACTGTGCAAATGTTGTTATCGAAAAAATGTTGAAAACTATAGCTCCATTCGCAGTCGAACTTTAATACATGTGTAAACGTAATTGGTATAATAATTGTAGTATATTAGGGAGAGTGTGTCCATTCGATGATTAGAGATAAACGTGTATTAAACGCGTAGTAGTTAGGTAGAAATAAACAAATGATAAATGTTCTGTTGTTTGCGTTCGGTGTCAACTGTGACTGTTCTGTAACCGTGCGTTAATGCGCACTCACTCACGTGTAATGCATGTATAAAACGTTTATGTCCAATTGTTATACATGTAGTTTCTTTTTGGCATACTGAATATACAATACGTTTTGCCCGATCGGCTCACGTATTATTAGAAATTTGCAGAAAGAAAAAAGGTAAAAAAATAAAGAAAAATATTGTGTGTATGTATGTGTATAAGTAATGTTTTGTGTAAAACATTGGGGTTTTAATCTAGCTATGCTGTGTGAAGAGAACGAGTTGTGCGCATTCGTTTTCACGTATAGAGCACGCATAACGCATTATTAAATAAAACATTTTAGTGGGATATTTTTTGTTTGTTAGCAGTCGCAAATGTATTAGTGTACGTTACTGCGAGTACGTATGTATACATACATGTATAGGAACTATCATATAGTGTACAAAAGGGATGGAATGTGTTTAAAAACTATTGGCCCCAAATTGTTGTTGGGGCCACAAAACATACGCTTAGTAAAGTGGTTACGATATAGTACCTCATAAGTTTCTCATTGTACTAATGTAGTGGCACGGTCGTGTCCGTCGTGTATACAATACGTGTGCTGTTGTCGCTTCGCAGCGGCAACAATAATATAAATATCAACGCTGTATAATAAAAATGTTTGTAAAAATAGTCATCTCATCAAGTTCACTATAGGTTTGTTGATTATTATTTTCAACTGGAAATTGCTGAATAAAGCGAAGATTCTGTTTCATGTGTTCATTTCATTTACT